CCATGTATATCATTTGTTCTCCCTCATTCTCTTCCTCGCCAGGCTCCAACGCCGCGTCCTCGTACCCGGTGCTGAACTTCCTGCTATACGTGCCAGACCCACCGCACTCCCCGCTGTATATCCGAGACCGGTCCGGAAGAGAGGTGCCAACCAACGCCTTCCACAGCCCGCGCTGGGGTGGCATCATGGTACTGTCGCCCTTCCGCCTGCTGCCCAGGGAGGAGACCGGGGTCTAGGGGCACCTCCCAAGTACCCCTGCATTGGTCTAGCTCTCCTGCAGCAACAGTCTCAGCACTCAGTATGAGTGTCTGCATCAGGCCATGGACTCTTTGCATGGCAAAGCTAACAGATATGGAGGTGTTGAACTGGTGTGTGGATAAGGCCAGCAGCTATATCACCATGAAGGTCACAACGGGCAGCCCACTAAAGCTCAGCAAGCATGAGCCTGGTCAGGACCCTGATGGGAGACCTCCTAGGAAAGCTGAGGTTCCTGCAGGAAGAGGTGTTAGTGGGATCAGTAGGGGGGACTCAACCCACTGTCTGTGTAGTGCCCCAGTATTTTGAGGGGGACACTATAGTGTAAAAAGGTGCCATCCTTCGGATGAGATGTAAAACTGAGGTCCTGACTCTCCATGATCATTAAACTCCCAGGGCATTTCTAGACACGAGTAGAGGTGTTATCCAGGTGTCCTGGCCAAATTTCCCCCCTGGTCTTTCCCAATCATAGTCTCCTAATACTTCCCATCTAATTGTTATTACATCAGATATGCTAAGTAACATGCACTGCCGAAAGAAGTGTCTTCTGTTTCCAGTTATGTTCAGAGAATGAGGCAGAGCATGGCAGGTATTACAGTATCGCAGTGGGCAAGCCAGCCTCTAAAGATTGCAATAGATCCAGTATATTGAAAGAAGGCTATGCAAGGATTAAGCAAGAAGCACTCTAAAATAATTCTTGGTAAATTCAAATGAGGTTTTCTTAATAAAAAAGCAGCCCGACTCTAAACTGGCGAAGGAAATTACACCTGGCCACATGAACACCAGTGCCAGTTTTCCCAGAAGCAGGTTAATCTACCAGTATGTCTTTAGACTGTTTGAGGAAACCGGAGCCCCCAGAGGAATCCCATGACAACACGGGGGAGAACATGCAAACTCCACACAGATGGCACCCCAGATCCAGAACCGAACCCAGGGGCCCCAGCACTGCGAAGCCTCTGTCCTTGTGATTGGGTAAAGACCTGCTGCTGCGCTGTGTGCACATCTGCCCAGCTGTGCTCTTGTCTCCCTCCAGGTGTACAACGTGCGTGAGCAGCAGGTGGAGGAGCCCCAGTTCCCAGTGCACGTCGACATCGACATGGTGCGCGTGATGGGCGTCTTCCTGGCACAGCTGCGGTGAGTCGGGGCTCCCTCTCGCCACGGTTCAGGGCCCATGTGCAGTTGGGGTCTCCCCAGCCCGCCGATTCGCGTATTCCCAATTCAATCTGGCGTGGAAGGAGAGCGGAGCGAGCCGAAGGCTGTGAAGCACAGCTTTCAGATCGGCGGCGCAGCAGACTTGGGGGGGGGGGGTTGGCGAGACCACTCCAGCTAGTGTCCGAGCCTCTCGGGCCCCCTGCCCAAAGACCCACATCTCGGCGTGCTCTGGTCTTCATATCATAATGAACACTCCAGGTTCTGTGTCAGCAGTGTGAGTGACAGTCCTGCTGCCTGTTTCATTACAGTGAAACAGGTGTTACTCATGAAGACAGCTGATGTGCAGGCTGAACGGAGAACAAAGATTCCTGTTGTTTATTTTAGCTGATTACTATACGTTGGTGATTACCGTTGTTTCTTTTAGTTGTTGGACGTTATTTAAAGCCAATGCATTAGTGCTTTCAATACCATATAAAGGATGCTTCCATATGGCTTTTAAACATACATACCATATACTGTGGTACATTATGAAACGGTATAAGGGTGAATTTGGTTAGATGCAAATCTGGCTATTTGTGACAGTTCTCTGCACCGAATCCTCGCAGGTGTTGAGAACCTACTGTGTACTTCCCCCTTGATGATCGAGGTGACGCCTGCCCAGCGCACACCCCACAGTTCCACACCCAGACCGCTCGGTCACGCTCGCCTGTCTGTGATCTGAGCTGCCGAGGGCCAGCGCTGTGACAGACGGACAGGCGGGTCTGGCTGAGCTGAGTGGGTGCTTGTGGGTAGGGTGAGTCGCAGGTCTCGGCTTGATGACGATGCTGCCTGGGGGTAGGGCGTGGGTGTGTCGCTCCTGCCTCTGATGCGTCTTGTCCCTGTCCCCGCAGGCTGCTGCTGGGGGTGCAGCAGGTCCACGCCCCCCCCGGCTACCTGCTTCAGAGCCCCGGCAACAAGGGGCTGACGGACTGGGAGCTGGACCGCCTGCTGTGGGCCCGCGCCGTCGAGAACATCGCCACCGCCACCACCACCCTCACCTCGCTGGCCCAGCTGCTGGACGAGATCGGCAACATCGTCATCGACGACCACATCGCGGAGCAGGTGAGTGTGGCCCCGCCGGTCATTGAAGAAAATCCGAACCCACACCTCATGGCACAGCATGCCTGCATGGCTCTTTGCTCTGCTGCCACACGGCTCCTGGATCCTGGGTTCGAGTACTGGACCTTCTGTGTGGAGCTTGCACACTCCTAGGATGTTTCTTGAAAAGAGTAGGGGTGTTACCTCGATGTCCGGGCCAAATTCCCCC